TATTGAAAATCGAAGTAGATTGCAATTAAAAAATGAAAGTGAACATTACTTAACACCTTCCCATAAATAAAAGGCAGCGTGTAGTGCACAGTTTGCACTGCCTGCAGACGAGTTGCCGTCGCATCCCAGCCTGGGAGTCATCACATCCCTCCCCCATGGCGCTGCCTTCTCTCACCGATTCCTCTCCGCTCTGGAAGTCCCAGAGCCGTGCGGGGGGGAAAGAAAGCCCAAGCACAGCCCAAGTACCACAGAAGGCTATTCATTATCTTTAAGTTTATTTAATATCTCCAGCTTCTGGAACATACTCAGCGGCAGCGTTGGCACTGCCAGACGTTGTCTATCAAAGCGCCATTTGTTCCAGCGCTTTACATATTTCCCCTCTCGCCTCCTCCCCCTCGCAATCCTGAATACAGGCTTTTTTGGGGCCGGCGGGAGCAGGGAATCAGATGGTCGGGGATGGCCCACGCCAAGAGCCCCGAGAGCCAACCGGGTAGCCCTGGGCTCGCAGCGGTGGGGGCCGCTCAGCCTTGCCCTGTTCCGGTTGGGATCACGGATCTGCACATCCCCTTTGCCTCTCCAGAGAAGGGAACTTCTTATTCGACTTAAAACTACGTGCACACAGATACATCTCAACCGATCTTGCAGCTGATTTCCACAAACACACTCACCCTTTCCGTGCGGAAGGGAGGAGGGGAAGGGAGAGGCGGAGGGGTGGGGGCAAGAGGGACACCGTCCTCTGTAGGGTCCCCCCTTGCAGGGGGCTGGGAGGGGGCGGCCTCCCCCCGCCCCCCAGCGCCGGGCTGAGACGGGGGCGGGGAAGGGGCTTCCACGAACCCCCCAACGTAAACTCTGACACCTTATCAATACAGATCTCTAACAAGGGCCCTTCTGCAAATCATAATGACTTCTCAAAGTTGCTGCAGGTCTAGAAAGCATGCCAGTCACAGCCACAGATCAATTCTACACCCACGGAAAGTGACTTAATAAATGGAAGCTCGCCAGTTATTATCCTTGCTAACAGCAGGCCCCTTCTTATTTGTCCTAATTAGCAAGACTGAAATGTCGGAGAAAAGAAGGGGAATATTCAATAAAATCTAAATTATTGAATGACTGTAAGATTTCGCCATTAGTTCAGCCATTCTTTACCTTCTTCAAAATGTCAAACAAATGGGGAATGCATATTTGCAACCCTGCCCTTCTGTTCTGTGCAACTGGAGGGCATATATTAAGCATATTAAGCGTATTCAGCTCTTGATCGTTGTCAAAACACTGCAATTGCCTCACGATTATTAACCTAGAAATATGCAAATGAGATACGCTCGCACGTGTTGTAGGGATGTTAAAGTAATATTTATCTTGTGCTGATCTAGTCTGGGGATGTGTTTGCTAAAGAGCTACTCGAAGCCCTGAAGATGTTGAACCAACCCATTAGAGCCATGGGAAGGCTCAAGGCGGAAAACCTTCCGTGAAGGAGGCGCGGGGGAGAGAGCGCGGCAGGAGTTGAGCCATTGATGGGTGAGGTAGGAAGAGTTAACTTCTCCTGGGGAATCACCCCGGCCTTCCTCCTCAGCTGCCGTCGCCAGACCGCGGCTTTCCGGGAATAGCCCCTCCAGCGACCGTTTTTCCAGCTGAGTTGTAGCATCCTTTTCCAGCACTTACCCGCATCCCAGTCCTCTGTGGCCGGAGCTTGAAGAACGGTGCTAATGCTCCACTACCAGCAAAGGAAGGAGCTGGCAGGGGGGACCACCTACTGCTCGACAGCCTGGCATCTCCTGCATCTATTCCAGCTTTGCCGTTTTTTTTTTTTTTTATTATTTTTTTTTTTATTTTATTCCTCTTTATATACGTCTAAGGGGAAAATACAGAGTGCTGAGCCCGGAGAAACTAACTTCAGAAACTCTGGAGTTCGCCCAGGTGAAACCAGTCCTCAACCCCAGCGGGATTCTGTTTAAACTGATGCTGGTTGATATTACTAATGCTGACCTACTCACATTAGCAACGTTAATGAAGTTGTTAATGAATGGATGCACTGATTAAGGGGCGGGTTTAGGTGGAGCGAGCCCACGCCGGGCCTGCCGGGTGCTGGGTCTGAATGAAACGCGGAGGGTTTGGAAGCCCTCGGGTGCAGTCCCGGCCCTGCATCCCCCTGAGCCCAGACCCAGCCGGGCCCGGGCGAGGGTCTCTCGGGGTCGCCGAGCTGTCCTGGGGGAAGGCAAGGACGGCCTGGAGCGGGGCTCGGCCGGGATGAGGAGCGCACAGGGTATGTCTACTGAGAGGAAAAGCACTGCTGCGCCCAGGAGCAGCAGATACAGACCCCTCCTCTCCACCCTCACGGAATAGAGAGGCTTAAATGAACCTCATTAGTGAAACGACCCGGCTTACAGACACACCCCTGCCCTGGGGACCACAGAGAAGTAGCCGATGCGATTCATAAGGGAACAGGACAAGTTCCCCAGAGCCATCGGAGGAGGAATTTGATCTTTTAGCGCAGCAGGAGGCGGGATTTGAGGCATTTGTGCCACCCTGAAAAGCAAAAATATCGAAAGAGGCATTTCTCACTCAGATCTTCCACTCAAATTTCTGTTCAGGAGACTGAGAACACAAACCGTGTCCCTTTCCCTGGTAAGAAGGCTCTCATCCCCTCCGAGGCATGCTGACCACCTGTGGACCGTCCCCGTCCACAGGGACCCTCACGACATCGTGCTGGAACTGGTCACGGTGCCGGTCCCCGACCCGACCCGGCCTCCGGCCGGC